CTAAACGAAGACGTCTTAAAGGTGGAAAAGAGATTTCACATACCATGAATACTTGTGGATTATGCAAAAGTGTAGGACATAATATTGCAACATGTCCTCTAAAAGAAAATATTTAATTTTCAGCTCACACTAAAAAAGAAGAAGAAAATTTGTTAAGATGCAAATTTAAATCTAGATCTTCTACCAAAAATCTAGGTACATATTTTTTTTAATATTTATATTTTTTTATATTTATTTCTTATTTTTTATATCTTTTTTATTTTTAATTTGTTAATTAAAACTATAACTTTTGTTTCTATTTTTATAACAAGAAGAAATTGATGATGTGTACGAAGTGCGTCGAATGATTTTTTTTTCTTTTTATTTGGGTAATTTTAAATAAAATTGTATTTGAATGATATATTTGAAAATATAATTTATTTTGCTACATTATTTTACTTTTAAAGCATTTTAATTTTATATTAAAAAACTTTCAGCATAACTCTTGCATCAATATATTATTGTAATTTAAAGAAAATCAATTTTAAACTAATTTAAAAAAAAAAATTTGTCTTGCGTACTATTTTAACGATTCTTAATATTTTCATTCAATTCAAAATATAAAAAGCTGTATATATCAAAGGTAATTTTGTCCTAATCATTTTTAACAAATGTAAATTTTAATGTTTCAATTACTATAATTAATTATTACTCTCTTTGTTTCATATTATAAGCAAATTCAACTTTTTAGATACATTAAATAATTAATGTATTTAGTCTATATATAAAACAGATATATTAATTATTTAATGTATCTAAAAATTAAATTTTGTTTATAATAGAGAATAGAGGGAATACATGTTTCAAAATACTCCATCCGTTTTATATTATAAGCAAATTCTATTTTTTTTAAATACATTAAATAATTAATATATTTGGTCTATATATAAATCAAATACATTAATTATTTATATATCTAATAAAATAGAATTTCTTTATTATATAAAACTGAGAGAATAAAATATATGAAATCAATTATCATTAATTACAGTTTTACATGTACCCTGAGAAACAAGATAACAACACCAATATTTAAAATAGATAACTAAAAAATGTCTATAAATAACCTCCTCAAACATGTCCTCACCTCGTGATATACATATATATTTATTTATTTAATAAGGTTTAAATTTACTCCGTCAAAAAAAATAAGATTTAAATCTATTGTAATTTAACTTTTATTATTTTAACATATGAGTTATAATAAATAAATATTATATTTTTAATTTCATTGTTTTACATAATCATGTTTTACAATGAAAAATAGAAATGCGACAATGAAAACAGACATGTCAAAGGATGAAAGAGACATAATCTCCTGATTATTTCAAGTTTAAGAATTACTCCCTAAGCAAATTTTATTTTTTTTAGACGCATTAAATATCTTATCTATATATATAGATCAGATATATTAATTATTCAATATATCTGAAAAGTAAAATTTACTTATAATATAGAAAAGATAGAGATATTTTTAAAAATAAATAACTAAATAAGCATGGCATCATAATTCATATTTGTAAATACCCACTCGAACTTATCTCAAATTTGACGAAAAAAATTCATTTTGACTAAATTTGTTTTCGGACTTGAATTTTCTCCGCGGTTAAAATATGGGAACAAGTTAAATAGTTAAAATATGGAAACAAGTTGAATAATATGAACACTAGTATTTACAATAAACTCATCTCCGTTTATTTTATTACGTGCTTTATTATTTTAATTTTAATAATTTAAAATATTAAATATGTTGTTAATATTTTAATTTGTATTTGATATTTAAAATGTAGGTATGCAATTTTTTGCGATATTTTTATTTTATTATTTGTAGTGTGATTTTATTTTGAAAAAGTAAATATTTTACTTAAAAAATAAATTCATTAAATAGATGGTAGTAAAACGGAGATGATTCGAATTTTAATTTTCATAAAGTTTAGGGTGGACAACGGAAATTATTTTAAGATTTGAATTGGAGAAAGTGAAAGTCATCCCCATTGTGCCTATAGCTAAGAACTAAGTTTACCCGTGTTTATTAAAAATTTATAAATAAATAAAAATTGCTACTTAAATATAAAGGTTCTTGAAAATGAAATAACTACCAATAACTTACATATTCTCATCATTTTATTTTTAGGGAAAATGTGGAAATGTACATTCCCAAGAAATTTTATATAATTTTTAAAAAAAAACATATAACTACCCTAATAACATCAAGATATATATTAAACACTTTTTTAAAAGAATATCCAAAACTTATATTTAGATATTTTATTCTCGAACAACTTATTCTAGAAAATCTTTTATAAATCCTTGAATCAAACATCCACAAGCTTTATATACATTTTCATCAAAAGAAAACGACTTACAAACTCTTTTGAACTTAAAACTACCTATATGATTTAACTTCAACGGAAGAAACTACTACGTTTTATATGTTATTTTTCTTTTTTCGTTGATGCTGATAAACTTAATTCTTATTATATTAAAAAAGAATCAAATGTTATACTGAACTGTTAATCACAGAGGTCGATGAGATTGGTGAAAATTGAAAATTTTCATTAGTGGATGAAGCTGAAACATCAAACTTCTTGGTGAAGAAAATGTCACTAGCAGCTTTAGAATAGATTCTTGCATCAGCATCACTTGTAATGCACACTCCCGTGCATTGTTTTTCATGCATCGTTTAAAGTTGTCATAGAAATGCATGAATCAGATCAGATCGTAGTTAAGTTTAATGCATCTAAACTATATCTACAATCTTGTAAAAATTAACCCTATTAATGAATCAAATTCAAACTACTTTAATACAAATGCTGGCAAGTGGTGAGATCAACGAGGACCTTTTAATAATTTCCATCCATTTCTCTAGGTCTCTTTAAAGATATGCCCATCTAGACCGAAGTGCAACAAGTGGCTTCTTCAGAACACGCTTCTGAGTTCTTCATTTCTTCCCGAAGGTTCTCTGCTTAGACTTGCTCCGTAATAACATTATATAGAACAGTACTATGGTGAACAATTAATGAATAAATAGAATAACTGAGCCCGTTGAATTTATTTTTGAGTTAGTCCTGAGATAGAATAAGTCCAATCTTTTTACTATGTTTTCTTGATAGAGTTAGTCCTAAGATAGAATAGGTCCATTCATTTTTACTAAACTTTCTTGACTTCTTGATAGTTATATGTCATTGTTTACACAGATAGGGAAACAAAATAGAAGAAACTTTGTAGATTAGCACTCCCATTATTGACCCAATAAAAAAACTCAACTAAATTCAAGGTTTATATTTGTATGCATATTTGAAGACTATGCAGGGAAATAAAATCAGTGAAGAATTATTTTTAGGAATAAGTTTCATGTTTACCCGGTGCAATTGACAGCATACAACCTACTTGACATCATTAAGTATTCAAACTAACCAAACTTCAAAACTTTTTACTAAACTTTCTTGATAGCTATGGCAGTGACACAAGTAACGTACTAGTAAATTCAATGATTATATGCATTTTGGAGTTAATACGGGTAAAATGTAAGTAGAAAGTAACTCCTAGGAGTAAGTTGCATATTGACTCAACTCTATTAGCCTACTTACCATTAATTATTGAGATTGACCAATTTTTTTACTGAACTTTCGTGATAAGTGATATGTCAGTGACGCACAAATAGGGAAACAAGCTAAGGCGGGATAGCTGAAACTTCATGAAGATTAGCACTCCCCAAATTGACCCGGTAGCTGAAACTTCATGAAGATTAGCACTCCCCAAATTGACCCGGTAGCTGAAACTTCATGAAGATTAGCACTCCCCGTATTGACCCGGCAAAACACACAAGGATTAGTGTCTCCAAGTCTGGGATGCTTATATTACATGACCACTAACAAAATTTAGGATTTACTTAAATAGTTAGAATTTAAATTGGGTCTAACTCAACTCTTGCAAAACCAACTTATAAGGTGAGTATTGTCCCCCATTTATAAATAGTATTAGTATTAGACCATATCTCATCCAATGTGGGACACCAAACATACCTCTCTCACGCTCGAGACTAGGCATCTAGAGCATGAACCAATAATGAATATTGAATAACCTTTAATACCATGTTAATTGGGTTTGGATCTCATCTCCAAAGCTACCTCGTGAGATGAGGGTGCCAACCACATCTTAATTGGGTTTGGATCTCATCTCCAAAGCTACCTTATAAGATGAGAGTGCCCAACCAAATATACATCCAACAACCCACAAACCTTGACAACGTCAGACTTTAATACAACTTCGTGGGTCTTCGGTCCAATTCCCACATTGACATCCTTAACGCGGCATAGATAGTATATTAAAATTTGGGTTAGACTTAACTCAACCCTTAACAATTGGCATGTAAGATGAAAATTGCTCCAACTTATAAAGATCGAGAGGTCATATCTCATATCGTGTGGAACACTTAACAAAAACAATCGACTATCAACATAAATTCAATGACACAATACGCATCATCCACACAACTAACTACATGCAATGACACAAAAGAAAATGGTTTCTGCAGTGCTGACACATACATCCTAAATATGGTAGGATGACAGACAGACACTTCCAAGTAGCTAAAAATGAAATGTGGCCCTGAATAATCTATAAAAATACTTGGAATCTTCAAAAATGCTGATTGTATCTATTCATCTCAAGTTATACTTAAAATGCAGACAGTTCAGAACCAAAAGAAAACTTAAAACTGGAACTTGCAACAACAACCTTTCTGCCAGGAAAGCTGGCTGACATGTGCATCATAATAATCCACAAAGACCAAAATACCATCTCAGTTAATACAACAAATTGACACAGATAATGAGAAGGTGAGTGACTTGACAACTTCTGCAACATAGAGGACGACAAGACTGACTGTCAGACACCCAAATTGAGCAATGCTGGATGACAACTCTGAACCTTCTCAACCCTCAAACATGTCCTAGTACTCACTGGAACAGTAAATAATTGCAAATTAAATATAGCAATAATACAAAAGAAATCAACTAGGTATATATGCATATATAAGTTGCAACAAAAGTAATCAAATGAGCATAAGAGAAGCTTTTCCAAAAAAATTGATTTAAACAACTTAACAGCTTTCAATTTGAAAATATCCATTACGTCACAAAGATGCTTGTGAAAAACCAATCTCTGTTGCAACAATGAGTGAAGGCAAGCAAATTGAAAAGGCTTTAATAAACAAACCTGGTCATTTTGTTCGGGAGATGATGAGGGAGATTTATCTGACTCAGCTGGCTTGTCAGCACCACAATTCTGTCTGTTGCACTTGGTTCGGAATGGGTAATTTATGTTATTACATTTTTCACACTTCCAGCTTCCCTCGGGCATCTTTTGCTCTGATTGGCAAGTACAGAACAACGTAATGGCGTTACCAACTGTTGCATTTGTATCAGACAAGAGCATAGTTAAAATTTAGATAAACATGGAAAGCAACTTACTGGAGTTCTTCTCAGACTTCGAGGCCTGCAGCATAATAACCACATCAAATAATGTTAACATTAGCATGACAGTTCTCATGTTGTAGACAGTTCTAAATGAGAAATGAAGATTCTCATGTTACTAGACTTCTCTCATGTTACATAATAGAAATGGAGGTAGCATACCTGGGATCCAGGCTTGGGAGTGTTGCACTTTCTCATGTTGCAGACAGTTCTAAATGAGAAATTGACGTTGCCACATTTTGGACATGCCCAATCATTGTCACGAGTTGCATCTATACAGACATGTAGCTGGGGGTGAGAAAAAAATAATCTTCAAATAAACTTCTATTTCTATGGTAACAAAAAAGAATGACAGAAAATAAATATAGCAAACCTCCTCCCTTTTTCTGAGACTTGTCATCGCGAAAAAATCCTGGCCTAGTGCCCTGCTCAGAAAAGGATTAACTATAAATTCCACTTTACAACAAAACCATCAAATTGCACAATCGAACGAATTATATCCTTTTTAGATTACTAAGGATCAAAGATGAAAACCCATGTATGAAATTATGAAAGCAAGACTTATTATGCACGCAAAATTTATAGCATGTTATGGAACAAACATCAAATATAGCTTGATAAGACCATTGTGACTGACAAGGATGCACATGTGTGAGTACGACACCGGGTACGAGTACAGAATACAAGATTTAAAATAAATATAAAAAAACTACTGTATGAATTTGTGAATAAAAAATATTTTCAAAAAACATTTATTATAACACACGGATATTCAAAGCAGATCAACAAGGCAAGAGAAAAAACATATACAGTTAAGATACTTGCAGTTAATATAAAAAAATAAAAAATAAAAAATAAAAACTAACTGCAGGGACATATACTTATCTTAACAATAGTTTTAAATAATTTAGCTTTATCGATTAGTGCATACCATTGTTCCAGGTCCAACAGGGACACCGAGGCCATAACGATCCAATAACTGAGGCATGGCATAGATCCCACCTGCAAAAGAATCGCCAGCAAAAAAAATGTAACATAACTGTAATAGGAGCACAACTACAAAGAATAACACTACAGAAGCAAGAGGGGTATAACAGAAATCAACAACAATCAATACAAATCCAATAGCTTCTTCATTGTTTCCTGTTTAATCTTTTGATTCATTAATTAAAAACTGACTTATTTATAATATATCAAAATATCATTTTTTTGGAAATTTAGTTATGTGAATGACAGGAAAAAGGAAAACAGAACATACCGTTTCCCACCATGGATCCACTTGCGTATGGTGCCGGTCCTGCTAGATGCAGTGGCCTATATGGACTGCCAGCAGAAAGGCGGCCTCCATAATTGTAGTGATAGGCCGCTGATCCTCCAGAAAATGGAACCTCATAGGGAGGAACAGGTGATCCATTGAATAAAGAAGACCCGTATGGTGGAACACCAAGATATATTGAAGGGGGGGCATTGGAGCCTATATACGGAGGTGCAGCTGAATAGGCCTGTGGAGCTTGAAGAGGCTTCACAGCAGATTTCTGGAAAGAGAATAATACATGGTATGAGATTTTAACAAGATCACAACTCTATCAAATAAAAGTACCTTTCCAAATCATTCATTGAACCAAAAACATGTTTTAAAAGTAACAACTACAACATTGAATATAACAGCTTACAGAATTATGATCAGCAGGCCTTGGTTGGGTGCAGTTACGCATATTGCAGGTTGTCCTGAAAGAGAAATTGACATTGCCACAGCTGGGACATGTCCAATCATCTTCCCTACGGCTACCTACAAACGAAAACCAACGAAAATGCAGTGGAGAACCATATCAGATCCCAATTACAGTATGTAAATTACACAAAACTTTGCACAGTTAATCCAAATAGCAATTGGATACACTGAAAAACAATCAAACCGCGACCCACCATCAGTCCTGGCACGCTTAGCAGCTGAGGAATTTCTGTTATCAACCTGCAAAACCATACAGAATAATAAGATTCCTAAATTCCTATATGCGAACAACCACAAAAAATGCAAAATTTGACATAAATTTAACTGATTTACTCATCGAGAATTGAATTAAACATTCAGACAAAGCCTGATTCATTGGAACAGGAGAATTATCAAAATTATGAACCATAATTGAAAAAAACCCTAATTGACGAGAGAAAATCGAGATCGATTGTGTTAGGGTTCGAATAGCATTTGAAAAACATGATGAATTGAAGGAATTAGGGTGATATGTGAAGGAAATAGAGAGTCTTTACCTGAGACATGGCGATGAGCAGTGAGTGCGGCGAGGGAATAAGCAAAGAGATAGGGATATCCTTCTCCTACTTCTCGAACGGGCGGTAAACGGAACGCACAAAAGCGATATCGCAAACTGCCTGGCGAAAATATAAATATAAAAAAGGCAAAAAAAAAATTATTTTTTATTTACCACCGAATCCATTTTGGTCCCTTAGAATATGATTGGATGGTGCTCTGAGATGAAATAGTATGGAGTGGAGTGATAATTAATGTGATTCTATTATTTAGATATGCAAATAAATGATGGAATGGAATGGAACATGATGAAATTCATTCCATTCTAATATCTATTTTTTATTTCATATAATTTGGGGTGTAAATGATGGAATGCTATATTTTTAATAAAATAACCAAACAATGGAGTGAAATCTATATTGCATTTAACTCCATTATGTTTCGCTCCGCTCCCGTTATTTTCCATCGATCCAAACATATCCTTAATTTTAAAAAGTTTTAAATTGATCATTTAATTGTTCAAATAGTGTCACGGTCATTTTTTCTGTTTGTTTCGTAAATCAAAGTCAATGGTAGTATACATGTGACACACACGTGTAGCTGGTATGTACTTTTTCTGCCATGTATACATATAACTTTGCAAGCTTAAAAAAGAAAGGGGAACGAAACGAGACATTAAGAAGTATTAAATCAAACCCTAACGCAGTTATTATCGTATCTTCAAGATTAATCCGTTGCGAGTTGAGGAAAATACATTTGTTCAAGTTGAAATCAGACAGCAAATATGTTTGAACTGATTTATTTGCAAATTTTGTAATTTTGTAATTTTAGGATTTATTGAAACTTTTTAAAATCCTTCTTTTTTCTGCGCTTCTACTTAAGGCATAGGGCATAGGTTGAAATGAATGAATATTTGCCCCTAAAAATCCATCACAATGGTGAATTTATTGATGAGGATTTTAGTGTGTACGAAGGGGGTGAGGTGGCTGATTTGAAAATAAATGTTGATAGGTGGAGTTATTTTGAGTTGTTAGGTTGTCTTAAGGATTTAGGTTATAATGCCATAAAGAAGATATATTATAGCGATCTCACATTTGGGATGAATGTGTTGGTTGATGACAAAAGTGTCTTAGAAATTGTTGATCTCTATTAGGTTCAACTTAGTGTTTACATCTATATTCAACACACATTATCGCAACCTGATTATTATGATGGTCCCCTTGATGAGATAGTAGTAGAGTAAAATGACATTGTAGATAAGAGTGAAGAAGTGTTTGTTAATGTATGAAGAAGTAGTTAATGGGGGTTGAAGAAAACTGAACTGAAGGATAGTGAGGCAAGTGGGAAGAAAAGTGTAAGGGAAACTGATGTTATAGAAAATGATGTAAGGGAAACTAATGTAAGGGAAAATGAGGCAATGGAAACTGATGTGAATGATGATAATGGACATGGGGTGGTGAGGTTAATGATAATATTAGTTCTGATGATAGTAAGGATGAGAGCTTCAATTATGATAGTGCAGTGAAGGCAACATTTGATGATGATTCTGATGAGTATGATGATGATTTGGATGATGAAGAGGCTAATCTAATTGACTATGTGAATGAAAATGGTGGTCAAGAGGGGAAGAACCAAAAAGTAAGGAAGAGCGGGAAGAAAACAAATAAGAGTTAAAAAGGAGTGATAATGAAAGCGAGGATCTAGAAAGTGGGGTGTGATAGTGATGATAGCAGTGGAGTTAGGAGAAAGAAGTGTCCAATATTCAAGTTATAAACAGACATGTTCAATTACAAATGGCAAGTTGGGATGTATTTTAGTACCAAACGTGATTTTAAGGAAGCAATAACCTCATATGCAGTCCTATCTGGCAGAAATTTGAACTTCACTAAAAATGACAAGATAAGAGGGGGGTAAGGTGTAAAGATTGATGTGAGTGGGAAGCTTATTGTGCTAAGTTGCCTAATGAGGATTCTTGGCAACTAAGGAAGGTAGTAGCCAGTCACAGTTGCGGTAGAGAGTATAATTTGAAGATGATGAGCATTAAATGGTTGAGCAAAAGGATTTAAAATTCATTGAAAAACAATCATAGATTGAAGCTTAAGGATACAAAAGAAAAGGCATAAAAGAAGTAGAATGCACGGGCCAACAAGACTAGGGTCATAAGAGCTAGATTTGCAGCTATAGACATGGTTGATGGTTCTTTTCTAGAGGATTATACAAGGATTTATGACTATTGTCATGAGTTATTAAGATCAAACTCATAGTCAACTGTAAAATTGAATGTTCAACATGCACAAAAAGGTATTGATGATCAAAGACCCCATTTCAAAAGGCTATACATATGTTTTGCAGGTTGTAAGGAGAGCTTCAAGTTATGCATACATTTCATAAGCCTTGAAGGATGTTTTTTGAAAGGTCTTTGTGGAGGTCAAATTCTGGAAGCCATAGGTAGAGATCCCAATGATCAAATATTATCAACAATATTTGCAATAGTGAAAAGTGAAAATAAGGATAGGTGGACATGGTTCTTGGAGTTGCTTATTAATGACCTTGGTGAACAAGATAAGTGTCTCACATACACTTTTATTTCTGATCAACAAAAGGTATGTTTTATGTGTTCTTCCATATATTTCTGATGTTATATTTTTGCTATTATAATTATGTGTTTTCAATTCTGATGTTCTAATTATGTGTTTTCTATTCTGATGATATATGGACTATTTCCTACAATAGATGAACTACTTCCTGGAGTTGAACAGAGATTTTATGTCAGACAACTTTATAAGATCTTTAGGAAGAGGTTTCCTGATAAAGTGTTGAAAGAAATCATATGGAAGGTTGCAAAGTCAACATACTAACAAGCTTGGGAAAGAGAGAAGAAATGAATGAAGTATGTCAATGTAGATGATACAAACACATGATGAATACCCCACCAATATTTTAGAGTAGATCATACTTCAAGACACATAACAAGTGTGATGGTGTTCTCAATAGCATGTTTGAAGCTTTTAATAATGTCACCCTGGAGTCTAGAGCCAAGCCTTTGATAACCATGGTGGAAGAAATAAGGGCATACATGATGGATAGATATGCATCTAATGGGATGAGGTTTCAAGATATGACAGATGTTGAAGTGTTACCAAACATTAGGAGAAAAATTGAAAAAACAAGCACACACACAAACTTGTGGCTTGTCATGTAATATACACATATTGAATACAAGTTTCATACTAGAATGTCTGGTGAGCATATCTTTCTTTTTTAGGATGTTTGATGAGCATATCTTTGAAGTGGGGCACCTTGAAAACCCAGCAGACAAGTTTTCAGTAAATTTGAAGGAACACCTTTGTTCATGCATAAGATGGGAGCTGACAGGTCTACCTTGTCTTCATGCACTTTCAGCTATGAAGAGTATGAACCATAAGGTTGATGACTACATCCCACATTATTACAGGAAATCAAGATATATAGAAGTGTACAAACATGTGATTTTTCTTGTCAATGACTCAAATATGTGGGTAAAAACAGAGTATCCTGATGTGCAACCACCTAAGTATAGAAAAATGCCTGGAAGGCTAAAAAAGACGTGGAATCTAAAGCAATGGGAGATTGATGGCTTTGATCGAAAAATGAGAAGGACTTGTTTCATTATTAAGTGTAGTAGATGTAAGAAACCAGGTCATAACAAGCTTACTTGCAAGGTGACACCAGCTAGTCAACAAGCACCTACTCAAGAATTCTAACAAGTACCTACTAATGCATCCCAACAAGCATCATAACAAGCATCCCAGCAAGTTGCTCAAGCAGCTACTCAAACATCTCAGCAAGTTACTCAAGCAGCTACTCAAACATCCCAGCATTTTCTCAGTTTACAATTGTTAGGTTAAGTTTGAACATGTGTTTTGGATCTATGTAGTTCCTTTTGAACCTATGCATTATGATGTTTTTTGAACCTGTGCAGTTCCTTTTAGATACGTAATGACTTTGGGTTTTAGTGGTTTGCACCACATTAGCAATGATTTGTGTGCTTTGTTTTAGCTATTTGAGTATAAACCAAATGTGCATGGTATAAACCAACTGATAAGTTGTTGGTATACATAATGGACTGAAACAAACTAATTGATAACAAACACATTGGTATTAACTGATAAAACACATATTGATTGCAACATAATGGTTAGCAAACACATATTGGTATTAACTAATAACAAACATATTCTTACAAACGGGTTCAATCTTATTCAAAACATTATGCCACCACAACTATTCAATATGATACAAACATATTCAAATTGATACAATTGTTTCAACATTCTAAGTACCACCACAACTAAAACCATAGAAAACATGGTCTTCCACATTTTTTCCCATTTCACCATCTTCTTCATTTAAATTTGTAAATCCCTTAATTGTATCTTCATTCCATCATTTGTTGCTCTGAAATACTCCACCTCATTTTTTGCTGCATCAAGTTCATTTTTAAGCTTCTCCAATCTAATTTTTTGCTTCTTCATAAACTAGTCTTTCTCATTTACCACATCCTCATACAACCAACCAAAATATCCACAACCAGCTTGTGTTACACCCTGTGTAATTCACAAATTGTCCATATCAGAATAGCCAGAAAATAAGAAAATATTGAAATTCTTTCTTACCTTATAACGATGACATCCCAAAAATTGTTTCTCAAAGATCATAACAGTTGAGACCATGCGAAGAACAACCATTTCTCCACAACGACATATGGGTTTGCACCATAAATTAGAATCCAAACTACCAGAGCTCTTCAAATTGGATTCGTTTGAAAATTGCTTAGAGTTCATTGATGATGATAATTTCATTTTCCACAACCAATTTTAGTGTTGACCTCTCCAATTTGAAGAATCCCGAATCAATTTGGGAGAAATCTTTGCAAGAAAAAAAGGAAGAAATGGAACGAAGAAGGTGATATATAAAATCCACATTAGCTTTCAACTAGATCAAAACAAACGTCCGTTTCAGTCAAATGGACGGAAATGACCACTGTGACACTATTTGAACAATTAAAAGATCAATTTGAAATTTTTTAAAATTAAGGGATCAAAATGGACTCCGTAGTAAACTTAAAGAACAAAAAGAATATTTTGCTTATAAATAAATAAATAAGTTGATACACTTTTTTTATAAATGCTAATATTTTTTTTATTAGACGATAATAATTGTAATACTCAAACATATAAGTGTCACTTGAAGTAGGTCTTAAGGACTTAATGGAGAATATTTTATGGTTTGTGATTAGACGAAAATAATTATAATATATGTACTTAATGGAAAATATTTTTTTATAAGCATTTAGTATATTCTTAAATATAAAATATAAGACTAACAAAATCTTCTAAAAAATACTACTAACACGAAATAACTTAGTAGTAATGTTTATTCTAAATAATATTACTAGTAGCACAAAATAATTTATTAATAATATTTATTCATTTTTTTAAGATGTGTCTGATTTTTTTTAAATATTGGATAATATAGTACAGTATAAATTTTTAAAGTATTAATGAATAGCATAAAGAATTAAGTAAAATTTATTAAAATACTTAGAGAGAATATTTATAATAAAAAATTTAATGATATTTTTTGTATTTTAAATAAATTGTATTATGGATAAAGGATATTTTTGTATTTTTATATTATAAATATTAATATAGGAGAGAGAGTGAGAGAGATGGGAATATGTTTTTAGTAGAAAATAAAAGGATATTTTAGTATTTTAAATAATTGTACAACAGATAAAAAGCTCTTCCAAGGTTTAATGAGCGACAAAATTTTTGGTTTTTGTCTAGTCCCTAATCTTGATTTTTGACATGTTCCATGAACATTTTTTAAATCAAACGCATGCTAATTAGGGTTGTATTTTTCTGTTCCTTATTGTTTAGCATATCAAACACACCTATAGATTTTAGTATGGGTCGATCAAATATTTAGACTTAATTGCAACTATGATCCTCCTATTTTGTATTTTTTTGGGTTTTCATCCCTCCATTTTAAAAACTACCATTTTGGTCCTTTTTTAAGTTTTGAGTTTGATTTTAGTCTCCTTTTCAATTTGAGACATTTTTTAATGATGTGGCGCTATCCAAAATGAGTGGCAATGCCAAGTCATTTTAAAATTAATTTGAGACTTTAATTATTGATTAGGAAAATTAATTTATTAATATTATTTTCATTAATAAATAAATTATTAATTTTTATATTTAATTAATTAATTAAAATTTTATATAAAACATTTTGGGCCTAACCTTTTAGCTCCATGTCTTTGGTACTTTTTTTAACGCACAATTGATTTGTTGTGTTTGTGTAAGATATATAAACACTAACAACATTTGTAATAAAAACAATGTGGAACTACTATAACACCAATTAAAGCTTTCTACATCTTCCCCCATTACAGATCATCTTCTGTCTCTTCTGGTTTAGGTGAACAACCATCATCAACGTTCAATTTCACAAGAATTGGTAGTGGAGATTGTATTGAAATAATTTAATTGGGCCATAAAAGGCAATACATGGTAAAAGCAAAAGCAAGTTAATTACAACAATACTAGACTCATGTGAGTGGTTACTTGGATGGTACCAATCATGAAGTATTGCTAGAGGCAAGCTTTGTTTGTCACATATTTATCTAGAACAAACCAACACAGTCAACAAACTAACGCATAACAATAGTTATATAACAGGATATATTCATCTAAAAATCTATCAAGTGAAATAATAATCCCTAAAACAGAATGCATAACAAACAAATAAGTGGCAATAGTTAAAAAAATACACGGTATGGAAGAAACAGCGGCAATAGTTAGAATAAATGAAAAAGGGTCTTAAAATTGAAAAACATAAACGTTCCATCATATTCTTAATTTCCTACTTCCTCCATAATTTTTAGATACATCTTGTTCAATAACTTTGATCTAAATTATCATTATCAACATATTCACATAAGTAGAAACCCTTATGAAACAAATTCCACTGAGTGACAGTGCTAGCCAGGTTAAAAATCACTACAATTTTACTTATTTTTCATCAAACTTTCCACAATACACAGATTTTGGGTGAGAAAGGGATAAAGCAAGGAAGCATGAGCAGTTAATGATAAATCCAATTGATAATATAAATAAAGGAACTTGGCATGGATACATTACCAATCACAATATAAATAGTTTGTGACATTTATCATAGATGGAAGGTCATGTTATGAACGATAGAAATGTGTCTTCCCGAAGAAACATGGTAAGCTCTAAGATGTCTTGTGAAATTGAACGTTGATGAAAGTTGTTCACCTAAACCAGAAGAGACAGAAGATGATCTGTTAATTGGTGTTATAGTAGTCCCACATTGTTTTCATTACAAATATTGTTAGTGTTTATATATCTTACACAAACACAACAAATGAATTGTGTGTTAAAAAAATGGACCAAAGACATGAAACTAAAAGATTAGGTCCAAAGTGTTTCATATCAAATTTTGATTAATTAATTAAATATAAAAATTAATAATTTATTTATTTATTAATGAAAATAATATTAATAAATTAATTATCCTAATTAATAATTAAAGTCTCAAATTAATTTTAAAATGACTTGGCATTGCCACGTCATCTTGGATAGCGTCACATCATTAAAAAAATGTCTAAAATTGAAGAGGGGACTAAAATCAAACTCAAAACTTAAAAAAGGGACCAAAATGATGGTTTTTGAAATGGAGGGATCAAAACCCAAAAAATACAAATATGGGGACCATAGTTGCAATTAAGCCAAATATTTAATAAGAAAAAGTTCACCTTTGATTCATGTTAAAGACACTTTGACTAACATTCATATATAAAAGAACTCATGTAAAAGAAAAAAAATGGTTTAAATCCTCACTTACACATTACTTATGATTTTCTTACTAATAGGGGTGTTGGAGTGCTAACCTTACAATTCAACTTCCTCTTTCCCACACCGAAAGTTTAAGTCCACTGTAGTGAAGCACTACCTTATCGTCTCATCGATCATCTCTAGTTCTGATCCAGAATAATAGTGTCGCCTGCGGGAATCGACTTTTGATTCTTACAAATTTCTAAAACCTAACCCATCTAAATCAAGTTATGATTGTTGTAACAATCATGTTAAGATGAATAAAGCATCTCTCAATCTTTATTAACATAGTACTTTTTGTCCTTCTAACATCAAATCATCTCTAGTCCTTGTAATCGATTTGGTCGGCTAAAGGCAACTTGACGAGAAGGAACCTCTATCATAGAGAAATATGGAGAGCGAGAAGTGACTGAAACATAGACCGACGTTAGAGCTTCCATACCAAGAAAAGGTAGACGAAAGTCCTAACACAACACTTCGGTTGGTTGTAACCGCCGCTATAGCCAATCATTTGGTGGTGAGGATCCTCATTAACGATTGAAGCTTTTACGACCTCATTTATCTTAGAATCTTCATGAAATTAGGACTACACATGCAAGATTTGAAACCGTGTGAAGGCAAGATTCTCTTATCATTCAACAACTCCTCAATTTGACCATATGGAATAATATATTTATCAATTTCCTTCAACGAAGGAGAGAACAAAAGAGTTGTAAATGTACTTTTCTTCGGGTTCCTTGTGAAAACGTACATAACAATATTAATAGAAGACCACTCCTATCAATGTTGGACGTTGTAGCTTATTCAGTCCATTTGAAGATGAAATACCATAATGATACATG